CCAAATTCGAGCTAAACGTGGATGTGCCACGCACCCACGAAGCATTGCCGAGCGGGTAAACCCTGTCTTGTTTCGATCAAACCGCTGTCCTACACTGATTAACTGCATTCAAATTCTTAAATCTCCAAGTTTTTGAATTTTTAGAATAGAAGAACTCGAATTAGTGAAAGAATGAAGAAACTACAAGAGCTGTTTCCTGACATGGATAAGGTAATTTATCCTGACTCTCGATGATACATCGTGCTAACGGCGTACAATTTCAATGTTTAAAGACTAAATCGTTCGATCCATCGATCGATCTTTCCTTGCAGCAGACGAGCAAAGCTGAAATGCTGGAGTTGGCCGTTGAATACATCAAAGGCCTGCAGAGACAGGTCAAGGTAACAGTTAAAGACAACCTTAAGTTAATCGAATCACATGATGATCCAACTGCCACTTTTGTCTCATGAAAAGCTCTGTATTTGTTTTGGTGCAGACCCTCACTGATACGAATGCGAAATGCGCGTGCTTGTGCTCGAGTCGATAACAAGAAGAAACACGTATATTGTAGCTTGGTTTCAATTTGTACAGACCATAGGTAAGCTTTAAGGAACATGAAGATCCAAGAACAAATACAAAACAACGTTGTTTACTATGTTTAAAATTGTAGGATTCTACGAAGATTGTCTGTGTAATTGTATTATATGTTAGAAGTTCCATATAAGATCCAATTCAACAAAAGACAATTGAATAGTTAGCATTCTGGCATGTAAATATGCTTGTTGGATCATCATATGCGTAGCTATAAGCCATTGGACAAGCTGACTTGAATGCTTTCGAATAACCCGTAGGCTTGCACGTCTGCGGGCTACCGTATGCCCCGGTGCAGCAATACTGCGGCGTGTCGAAAGCCAAGCACGCACTTTTACAAGCAATGGTTACACCCTTCTTCTTCACCTCCAATCCACTAGGACATCGTTGATTCAAGTCCGATAGGCATTTCACTGTTCGACAACTCCCCGATCCACCGGAGGGGGATATCGAAATCTCCATGTTATAGCCATCAACAAGGCTAACATCATAGAAATCCTTAGGACTGTCTAAGGTGAACTCTGCAAGTGTAGCAGGTGGGGTACCTCCCGCCCCATCGCATTCGAGTACGCCACCGCAATCGCCTGTATCACACGTCCCTTTGCCAGAGGCATCGAAGGAACACCCATGTCGACCCCAGAATCGACCTGACCATCCTGTAGGTGCATTGATCGTTACGGTCTCGCCGGGTTTCAGCTGAAATCCGCCGTTCATTAGCTGAGGCTTCCCTGCTCCTGGTTGGATTCCTGGCCATACCGTGTCGCTACATTTGTTCACCAAACTGAAAACTGCTGCATCAGTGGCTGAAACACAAAAACATCCATCAAAACACAGAGAAAGAGATCAAAGAGGGAAAGATTTGTGATTATTACAAAAGAAAAAGCAGGAAAGCAGAAGGAAGAACAGGGAGAACTCCATGAGAGCAGCACAGTGTTAGCTTTGAGCAGAAAACCAGGAATGGTGGCTTTTAAGAAGGCCAAACAGCACAATTAGTCAACAAGTTCAACTTGTCATTCTTTTGGCCATGAAAAGTTACCAAATTTGGGTGAAAACTGGAAGAAACAACTGGTTTTTTATGGGACTATATATATATATGGTAATTTTTTCAGCATTTGAAAATTACCAAAAGAGAAACGTTTGAATGGTGTGAAGAATCATGTGAGCATGAGTAAAAAATTCCATCTTTTACTTGTTTGGGTGTAATTTAAATTTTATTTACTGCTATAATTACTCATTCTTGTAATTCATTTTTGTTACCTATTTGACTACACTACTACAAGATTACAGGGTAATGGAGGATGTGGAAACCTCCTCTTTGCAGACGCGTTTTAAAAACCTTGAGAAGAAGCCTGAAAAAGAAAGCCCAAAGAGAACAATATCTGCTAGTGATGGGCTTGAGTCGTTACAATATGTCTTCTTGTAGTCACCTGTTCAATCTGGAATTTCATCTCTGTTTTGGTTTCTGGTATCAGTTTGATTTGAGTTCCTTTGTTCAAATCAATATCGATGTTGGGCTCCCCTTCCCGATTGTCCTGTCCATTTAATCAGCTTTTTTCCAATCAAACCCTCTATTTTTCCGGTTGAATAGTTGAGTTCTTTAAATAAAGAATCTTGCTTATCCATAATATAGGTTATATTAATAACTAAAATACAGTAACACAAGTATCACTGATATTGATTACAAACTTTAAATATTCTGAATATTTTTTAAAGGTAAGGTGAAGTTGAGTTGTAATTGGAATCTGAGTACGGCACAAGATTGATGAAATAAAATAATTAATATTTAAGTCAAATTAGAAATTTGTAAGGTACATTATTTAAAGTAGTATGAATCTTTTCAACGATAGACATCTTAACTCAATATTGATCAAACTCGACTTTCTATAAATTTCGATCGGAAAGTTGAAACAAACATTTATTTTTTCATAAAACATATATCCAACCACATGATATCAAAACATAACAAGCAGTTTTATTCATCATCTTCAAACATCTCACCATCCTCCATCTTCTAAAAACCTGCATAAGAACAACAAGAACAAGAACAAAATCAAGTTTCTTAAGAGTCTTCAACACAAAACAACCAGAAAAAATGTTGAGAGATTGAAGAAGAAGAAAGAGTTACATGGGTGGAAATTCAAAGCGCATTTCTGAGGAAGCAACATGGCCACGTTGTAATCAATACCAGAAACAGGGGGGGCGTCCAACACTGCACAGAGACATGGCTGGCCGAGAGTCTTGAGCGCATGGCAACAGAGGAGACTTGGTGGCATGGGGCTGAATGGCGACAGTGATGGCTTGCAAGGAATGAGCTGAACCAACGTGGAAATCAAGCTGTTTGAACAGAACTTGGCTTTGCTTGGCTCCACAAAGCATGTCATTGCTATCATGAACACTAGAAATTGCAGAGGTTTGAAGCTTCCCGGCTTCATTCTTGACCTGAAATGAAATTTGAAGAGGAATAATGGGGTTTTAATGGGGTTGAAAATGTTGGTTTTATGAGATGAAATGAGAGCAAACTCATGCTTTCTTGCACTGTCTTCCTAACCCAATGCACACTTCCAATGCTATATGCAATTTTTGGTTTCTACTTCTAATTGGGCTGTGGTTTTTTGTGCAGGTGAAACAGTTGGAAAGCATTTAGCTGATGAAAAAGGATATGTTACTTTCTTCAGGCTTCAATGGAAGTCATACAATCAACAAACCAACACATAATGCTGACAGATATTCTTAAGGACGAGTGCCTACTAAATGTCACGGTCATGCTCGTCCAGAGCATGTTGTCCGTGGCTGCATGCCTATGTCATGCCATTGTATTTTCTATTCGTATGACTACTCGACGAAATCATGTCTAGACCTACCAAACCTAAATCAATTCAAAATGTACTAGATGGGTGTGACTAGTTGTCAACTACTCCCCTGATTTTGTATGACCGTAAGGTGAAATCATGTCTAGATTTGTCCCATCATAGGAGACGCAAATACAAATTGACTTGACTCATTTGATGTTAGAAGTGAGTGTCGCATAATCGTAATGTTTGTTACCGAGTAAAGTGCTATTGTGAGACTAAGCCTACAGGTTTGAGAACCACATGGAAGAACAGACATGGATTCCATACCGAATACCAGATTCAAGCAGAAAAAGAATTGCGAGTGAGAAATCTAACGACTCAATTACAGAACCGAATTATTTCAGTGCAACGAAAACTAATTGGATTCATCAAACTACAATGAGCAAAGTAAGTGCAAATCCATCTAATACTCCGATTTTTGAAATCTCATATACTTGTGACCAAGAATCTAGCCATGGATAGTAGTTAAGAACGCAGCAGATTTACAGAAGAATCTAAACCTGGATCAGAGAAGGCATTTTAAAAGTAGTAAAACAGAAAGATGCAAAACAATCAAGCCAACCCTCTATGCCCTTTCGCCTCTGATTCTCCTAGCCAATTGAATATCCTTCGGCATAATGGTGACTCTCTTCGCATGAATAGCACAAAGATTTGTATCTTCAAACAGACCGACCAAGTACGCCTCTGCCGCCTCCTGAAGCGCCGACACGGCACTGCTCTGGAACCTCAGATCGGTTTTGAAGTCCTGTGCGATCTCACGAACCAATCGTTGAAACGGAAGCTTTCGGATCAAAAGCTCAGTACTCTTCTGGTATTTTCGGATCTCACGGAGTGCGACGGTTCCAGGGCGGAAACGGTGGGGCTTCTTGACTCCGCCGGTGGCCGGAGCTGACTTTCGGGCGGCTTTGGTGGCCAATTGCTTCCTGGGAGCCTTCCCTCCGGTGGATTTTCTGGCAGTTTGCTTGGTGCGAGCCATTCGAACCGATTAGTTTAGCAAAATTGTGAAGATTCGAGCTCCGAAGTGATAATTTTCAATTGAGCGGTGAAGAAACTTGCGAGGGTTGGAGGCGGAGATATAGAGATTTGGATGAGAAAAAAAGCGGGAGATTTCAAATTTTGGTGGAAATTTGGTGAATTCCCTTTCTAGGAAGACCGTTGGATTGTTAATTGGACGGTGAGATTTGACGGGTTAGGTCCGTTCAAAGATAGCGATCCGTGGCTGAAACAAACAAGCAATAATATTCTGCCACGTGGAAAATCCGCCTTTTCTTTTCGTCTTTCATTATTCAACTATTTGGAGGGAACAATTTTACCGCCTAAAAGCTTTTTTTATTTTAATTACAAAATAATTCATTTTTATTGTTAGAATTTCATTGGATGAAAAAAATAATAATAATATATTTTAATTTCAAATCCTTTTTATATTTCCATATTAACTTCCATTTACACATATTTTAACAATTTCATAAATTTAATTAAACTCAACTTACTACATTAATCTCACCCTTCAACAAAATAATCTTAAGATAAAATTATTCATTCATATAATTTTGCATCCAAGAAAGAAACGATCTATAATGAACATCAAAATGGAACAATTTGCAGTCCAGAAAGCAATTCATTGAGAAATTCGGATTCAAGATCCCCATATACATTCAATCTGCAACCGATCTAAACCCTAAGCCACAAAATCAAACTCATAAATATAACAGAACCACCAAGAGAAATAATCAATCCACGAATTTAAGCTCTTTCCCCTCTAATCCTCCTTGCCAATTGAATATCCTTTGGCATAATCGTGACTCTCTTGGCATGAATCGCGCACAGATTCGTATCTTCAAACAGACCTACCAAGTAGGCCTCTGCTGCTTCCTGCAACGCCGCTACGGCACTGCTCTGGAATCTCAGATCGGTTTTGAAATCCTGAGCGATCTCACGAACCAATCGTTGAAACGGAAGCTTGCGGATCAAAAGCTCTGTGCTCTTTTGGTACTTACGGATCTCACGAAGTGCGACGGTTCCAGGACGGAAGCGGTGAGGTTTCTTCACTCCACCGGTGGCTGGGGCTGACTTCCGAGCAGCCTTAGTGGCCAATTGCTTCCTTGGAGCCTTGCCTCCGGTGGATTTTCTGGCGGTTTGCTTGGTGCGAGCCATTCGGGTGAATTGGAATGACAAAATTTGAAGGTTTTGGTAATGTGATCTGAGACTTTGGTTGTGGCGGATGGAGATTTGGAGGTGTAGATATAAGCGTTCTGTTGTGTGTGTTGAAGAAAAAGCGCGAGGTTCTTAAATTTTTCGATTTTAGGAGCGTGATGGAAGACCGTTGGATTGCGAAGATTTCGGACGGTCCGATTTGTTTGTTTGGTCTGTTTGAGGATTCCAATCCGCGGCAGTTTTTGACAGCCAATAATAGTCTGCCACCTGTGATAATATTTTAATGAGTTACCAAATTATTTTATGGATGATAAATTTGATTAAAATTAGTGAAAAAATATGAATTTATACTCTTGAATTTCAATCAATTAAAATCTAATAATAAAAAATCAACTAATTTAAATCTTAAAATTTATAAGTTTAATCAATGAAATTCCTAAACTTATAATAATTTCAATTTCTACCTTTTTATTAAATTTAAAAGTAGATTTACAAGATAAAATTGGAATTCACATGTGAATATTGTGCTTTTTATATTTTATATTTCATCGGTATAAATTTTATTAAAAAGATAAAATTTTTAATAAATTCAATAATATTTCATAAACAAAATATACTGTAATATAATATCCTGAATTTTAAATATTCATAATTTTCATCGCTTTAAAAGAAATTCAACATTTTAATTAATTTAGAATGTAAAATTTTAAGCATTTTATTATTATAATTATTAAGTCTCAATTTTTTTTTCTATACTTTTTTAACTCTATAATTATTACTATAGAATCTAAAATTTACCCTAATTCACAAACTCCCGAATACGGACAAACTTGATTTTTGGAGCACTAGGGTTTGATTCTTTCATCGTATATCATCTCACGATCATGGATGTTCAGTTATATTGAAAACATCTTTACTAGCTTTAGCGCCCTATTATTTACTTAGTTCATCAGTCACCTGAATCATAGTTCTTTGTCTCATATTAGTGTTCGTAGTATAGATTCTATTTTGTACACGGGAAATTCATCAAATTGGTCATAAATCTAGTCATATTAAAATTAGCATAGAAATCAAATAAACAAAGGTCAAACGAAAGTTGAACGGGAGGGAAATGGTTCACTTGGCGCACCCATGCAGGTACCAACATATTAGTATACAAAACTTTTATAGCAATGTAGTCCATGAGTTAACAGACCATGCAAGATAGAAACGCGCCTATTGGATGTACCCAAAATTATATATAACATCAGAGGATGTACACAAAACTATATAGCATTACGTTGTGTAAGGCAATACCCAGCTGGAAAACACGCAAAAATGAAACAAACAAAGAAGATATATAATGTAGAGGACATTGATTCATGCCCCCGTTATGATGAATAAAAGCAGAGAAATAACCGAGTCTATGTCTATACAACGTAAACTACAGTATTTCTACCGTATCGCGTTCGTCTCACGCCTAAATACAACCAAGAATACTCCTACAAAACTTCCCTACTACTGGCTGGCTCCTTGCTATTTCCATAGTACAAGAACCATACCATTTTCTTTTCTTTCCTTTCTAGAACTCAGAGTTTGCTACAACAAAATGGGATATTGATCTTTTTTTTTTTCTTTTTTTTTTGAAAAGAGAATACCTCTTGGAATGTTGCATCTAGCCAGATGCTCCAGCAGCGGTGCGTTTCTCGTCTTCGCCTTGCTCTTCCTTTGAGAATTCCTTGATTAATTCGCGTTGCCTTGGAGTAAGACTCCTGAGGATGAAACACACAAATACCATCCATAAGAAGAAATGAAAGAACAAATTTATCGACAATATCGACAGAGTTGCGGGAATAGGAGGACTCACGTTGGTATGCTGACGTTGAAGTGCACGTATTGATCGCCGAATGAGTACGAGTTCCTCGTTTTTATCCCTGCAAGAGAACAGAACAGAACAGAACATCATGTCTAGCATAGACTCTCAATTTGGAGTGCCCTTTAGAAACAAAAACATTTGATGCTACCAACAAGTCTATTGTAACTCTTTCCAATGCCATCAAGAAGCCTAAAAAGATGATATTCGCTACATTACCTTTCTTCTTCAGAACAACCTTCTGTCCAGGTTGAGTGCCAGGACGGACCTAAGAATTACAACTCAATGTCATCAATCTGGCATTAAACCCACAATACTCATAACGCATCATTTCAATATTAACATATTGCCTAACCTTAAGGACAACATCTCCCGTTAGAGTCGGAACCTGGATAGTGCCTCCTAATATAGCCTGCACCGACAATACCAGATAGGTGAACTATTACTCAAAAGAAAATAAGAGCTTTGGCTTCAGCTTATCGAGATAGAGGTAGGCAAAAAAGAAATTTACGACAGTTGTAGATCGCTCGAACAAATGCAGTAATTCGATATAATAAGGTAGACTACAGTTATAGGATATTCTTTTGGATTGGAGGCCCTCTTTTCGGTTTGGCCTATTTTAGTCGACACGTTTTATGCCCAAGTAGAGTCTTACACGTTTCTCAATGAGAGCTTGGTTTCTTGCTTATCAAATTAAGAAGAAAAGATAGAAATTACTACCTGAGTGATGCTTAAAACAGCATCTACGTGAATGTCAGAGCCTTCTCTTTTGAAAACGGGGTCTTCGCGAACCTTTTTATTCCCAAAAAAAACAGAAGGGTCGACACATCAGCCAAGGGAGAAATAGACAACGAAATCGAATGAATGAGAAATCGAAGTCACCTTAATAGTAACATATAGATCACCAGGTTGATTTCCATCAGGATCTGTACCTCCACTCCTGAACACCTTCATAGTTTCATTATCATCTATCCCTGTATAAGCCATCAAGAACACCAATCTAACATTGTCCACAAGTGCAGAAAAGGATTTCTGAGAAATATCTATAAGATTTAACCTTGTAAGGAAACCAGGAAGACTTACCTGCCATTACGTCCACCTTAACCGATTTCAATCTTCTCACAACTCGTTCTCCATTACAAGACTTGCAGAAATTCTGAAACGTTTTTTTTTAAGAAAAAATGAGAAACCAGAATTTCACGATGCAAGATTACTTTGTAAAAAGATTCTAAACAAAAAGTGCAACATACCGATACAATTTTTCCACTTCCACCACATTGCGAACAAGTAGCTTGCATTCTGAATGGGCCAGTTTGCATATACGTCTAGTGTTCGAGAGTGATAAATGAAATGTCTTAGATCTCACAAAACTACATTCACTATGGAAAATGACTAACGGAATAGAACAACAGAAAAAAACTAACCATGCCTGAGCCCTTGCAGCGTCTACATGTCTCGGGTCTAGTTCCAGGTGGAACACCACTGCCACCTGCAAAATCAAGTCTTATCTTATCAAAGAACTGGAGGCAGTCAACTAGAAGATAAAATTTCAAGAATTGAATAGATTTTGCCTACCACAAGTATCACATGGCACAGCAGCATTAAATGCCACATTTTTTCTGCACCCCTGGACAGCTTCCATAAAGGATATCTCCAAAGTAACCTACCAACAAAAACCAACAATAATAAGTGTGCTGCCTAAGAATGAAGCTCAGAGCATATAACCAGATAGGACTTGCACCTTGATATCTTCTCCACCAAAGTTCTGGCGAAATATATTAGAGAACTGGTCGCCACATGCAGGAGAACACATGAAAAAGACTGTAAGCTTTCAAGGGGGAAAAACGTTACAAAAGAAACTCAATAGAAGATTGGCTTACGTCAAATCCCCGAAACATTCCACTAAATGGGTCAAAGCCTTCACCAGGGAAGCCACCGTGATGGTCTTGTTGTGAAAATGCTTCATGCCCAACCTATGACATTGTACAGGAAACAGAATAAATGCAACTTAAATCTTGAATGCTTACCTTTTGAGGGGAAAAAACATTTAAGTGGAATTCGAAATCATACCTCATCATATTGTCGGCGTTTATCCTCGTCTTTCAAAACCTAACACCATTAAAACACGAACTTTAAAAACTTGAATTGTAGAAAGAAGAAAAGACACATTTAATATACACATCTCTGCAAAAAATCATAGATGTATGGGGATTATTACCTCATAAGCCTTGCTAACTTCTTGAAACTTCTTTTCAGCATCGGGGTCATCCTTGTTCGTATCTGGATGAAGCTTTTTTGCTAGCTGCCAAAGAAGAATGTTAAATTCACTATAATGTAACAGCAAGACTTAACAACAGATTCGCCCGAAAAAATCTAATTTTCCATTTAAAGAAAACGGGTTTCAGAGTATCATGCAGTCACCAAACGCCAAACTTCTAACTTACCCCATAGTATGCTTTCTTTATTTCAGATGCAGTTGCGTTCTTGTTCACACCCAGCGTATCATAATAATCTCTAGCAGACATTCGTGCTGATTCAAAAAGTACATAAATGATAAAAAGTTTTAAGTATTCCCGACACGTTTGTGATATAAAATTGATAGCATATAATAGGCGTAACTTGTTGATGCAACAATGATATCAAACTACACCAACTAGAACTGGAAGGATAGGCATAACGCCCATCAGCTACGGATGCAACAGAGGAAATCAATTGAAGTGAACATGATAGGAAGTAAATAAATGTATTCTGAATGATGTATAACATCGTACCAGTGCCATGAATTAATTTTGCTTCTCCATGGTTGGCCCCAAGAGCTCCCAACTGAAACCAGTTCTTTTTATTCACTGCACCACAGAATTTTTTAAAAAAAAATCAATCAACCAAATGGTAAGGGCAAGATATTAATCCAATTCCAAAGAGAACTTTTAACGAATAAGAAAAAAAGAGGGTACAAATACAAAAACATACCATTCTTCGAAGCGAAGTTTCCAAAAACAACGGATTGATTGCAAACCCCAGAAGTAAATCGCCTACAACTCCCTTGAAGAATCGCGTCGTTTACCTAAAAAGAACGAATCTCGAAATAAAATCACAGAAAATTAGGAAATCAACAACACGATTACGAGAGAGAATCAGATAAAGACGACATACGGAGCTTGAGGGTTCGCGAGGGAGGTGGGGTGTGAGGGACCGACGAGCCAACAAACGGATGAGCCTGAGG